GGCATATAGCTACAACATGAAAAACAACATCTGGAGGGGAAAAAACAAAAAAACACAACACCAAAAAAAGAGAGATTTCTTTAAGTCATCAGATAAAGCTGCTTTTAAAAGGTATCATTCAGTTACCTCATCCTCAGAAGACATCTGGAGAGCTTAAGAATTTGGTGTTCAAGCCAAACCACATGTAAGTTAATCTTCCAAATAATTATGCTCACTTTCAGAACCATCTCTAAAAGCAAGATGTAAGAAATAAGGTGCTGGCAAGAGGAACCGTTTTATCAAATATATATATTTTAAATGTTGGTTTTTGGAAATTTCACCATTGCTGGAATTCACCAGTGTTGCTTATTGTGTAGACCTACTAAAGCGAAGGCAGAACATCTCTGGAAGTATTTTGCTAAAGAAGTGGACAGTGAAGATGAGGCTAAAGGGGGAGAAGGGTGAAGTCAGGAGATGTTAGAAGCAGACAGATGACAGGAAGACTGGGGAAATGAGCAGCAGCTGGTTTGCTTGAGCAGAGACGCAATAGCACACGGTTGAAGCAGATGCTTTATATACAGAAGGTTTCAGGTTCAGCCCCTGGTATTTCCAGTGAAAAGATATCAGGCCTAAGAGGTAGGTAAGAAGAGAATCCAAAGAACACAAGAAAAGCCCTGCTGGACCAGTCCAAAGGCCCATCTAATCCTGCCATAGCTGCCAAGTTTTCCCTTTTCTTGCGAGGAATCCTATTCAGAATAAGGGAATTTCCCTTTAAAAAGGGGAAAAGTTGACAGCTATGAATCCTGCATCCTCTTCTCATAGAGGCTAACAGGAGGCCTATATAAGAACAGGGTGGCACTGTGGTCTAAACCACTGAACCTCTTGAGCTTGCCAGTCAGAAGGTCGGCGTTTGAATCCCCGCAATGAGGTGAGCTCCCATTGCTCGGTCCCTGCTCCTGCCAACCTAGCAGTTCAAAAGCACACCAGTGCAAGTAGATAAATAGGTACTGCTGTGGCGGGAAGGTAAACAGTGTTTCTGTGCACTCTGGCTTCCATCACTGAAATATACTCGGAGTCAAGAGCGGATTTCATGCTCTTTATTCAGCTCATAGTGGTGAGGAGGAATGGAGGTTCCCCCAGGATGTCTGCTTTATATACATTATTTACACAATGGGCCCCATGTGATTGGCTAATTCCGGGATTCACCTGTAGGCCAATCAACGGAACCCAGAATGCATAGAAACGCCGTTTACCTTTCCGCTGCAGCAGTACCTATTTATCTACTTGCATTGGTGTGCTTTCAAACGGCTAGGTTGGCAGGAGCAGGGACAGAGCAATGGAACCTCACCCCGTCACGCGGATTTGAACTGCTGACCTTCTAACTGGCAAGCCCAAGAGGCTCAGTGGTTTATACCACAGCGCCACCCGTGTCTCTATGGGCAGGTACCTGTCAGAGGAGACTGGGGCAGGCAGAAGATGGATTCGAATCTAGTGGTAGGTATCTGGTGATTTGCAGAAGGGTGGCAGGGATTTCTGACAGCTGAGTCATCAAGGCATGGCTTTGGGGGAGAGGTCCAGGGTCCCACAGCATAATGTGGGAGTCTGCAAAAGCAGCAAAGGTGGCTATTGGCATTTTGAAGTAAGTGAAGTGCAAAAGAACATAAGAAGACCAACATAGTCCAGTATCCAAATGCCAATGGGAAACCTGCAAGTGGAATCTGGGTGCAAGAACATTTTCCCCACACTTGGTTCCCAACAATTGGTAATCAGAGGCATATTGCCTTTAGCAATGGAAGTAAAACACAGCCATCACTGGGCAGCCCTCTGCCTGTAATATGCCCAGCTTCTCTCCCAATTACACAAGCAAAGTATTTTCTCTGATGCCCGTACTGCTTTAGTTTCCTACGCTAAACAAGCTGCCCATAACCACCAGCTCATTGCATCAGAAAGGAATGCAAATGGTTGTACATTAATTCAAAAAGGAAAGGATGTTATTCTTCAGACAAAGAACAAAAAATGTGGATCATTAAAAAGGGGGGAGGGAGAAAAAGAAACCCAGCCCACTGTAAATAAAGCCCTGTAATTATGCATCTCAAAAAATTCAACAGCAAATGGTTCAGTAATCTCATTACCGAACACACTAATAATCATTGCAGCATTCTCTATCTCCCCTAATATAATGAGCAACACACTGTATGTTGTGAAATAAATAAACTCCCAAGCAACAATTTCTCATCTCAAGGTTTAATGGAACAAATATGCTTGCCTTAAGGTTTGCTATCCAACCTTTCCTCCCTCCCGCAGCATTTTCTAAAAGAAATAAAATAAAATTATTTATGAATACCTAATTTTAAAGGGGGGATGGGGTAATTAGGGAATTGTAAACATAGAAGTTGTCAGCACAGATGATACTTTAAAGGGGGGGAAGAAAAAGAAAACCCTTGCAATTTTAACTACTATCAAAATTAGCCCAAGTTAAAGGCAATAATTAGTAAACAACTTTGTCATATTCAGAACAGCATCATTCCCATTAACATTTCTATAGTTCCCCAATTACATTATAAATCAAAAGTAATACAAAAAGACAATGCTATAATGAGAATGCATAGACTGCATCAAAAATTCAGATGCCAGCCTTTTCTTTGCTCTAGGATCCCTCTCTTAATTTGTTCCATTTTATTTTCTGGAGCAGTGTAGCAGCAGAAGGGCAATCATCATAAATAAAAGTTATACCTTGGTGAATAACTCATGGGTATTTGAGCAGGATAACTCGGTCCAACAATTAAAAAAAAAGCAAACTGCCTTCCTTCTGGCATCTGCAGGCTGACTGATCGTTCTCTATATAATCTTTTGCATGACCAAGAAACAGCAGTCAGGGTGGGGCCAAGATCCTGTTAGGTTTGGTGGAGGCAAAGAAGAACAGGCTGTAATTTAGAACACAGTTTGAGGAGCGGGGAGTAAACCTGCTGCTTGAAACCCGGTTCTCGGGCCATTGGGAGCAGCTTTGTTACCAAGATATAGTGAGTGAAACTGGGGCTGTTCCACATGACCTGTTTTGTTTGCACAAAGCTTATGCAGAGATTAAACCAGCCTTAGGTCCCCAGATGTTGTTGGACTACAATGCCTGTCATCCCTGACCACTGGCTAGGGATGATAGGCATTGTAGTCCAACAACATCTGGGGACCCAAGGTTGAGAAATGCTGTCTTGGAGTATAGCTGGTTTTTATTCAGCATTCATTCTGATTTGTTTGCAGGGAGGTTCTATTGAAAAGAGCAATCATCCTGCATTCACCCTGGTTTTGCTTGCACTGTGTTTATACATCTGCCTATTAATTATTTGTCCATTCCACACTTTTCAGTACACTGCACAGTTCCTTTGCACCAGCCGTCCCCAACCTATTGTGTTGGAAGTGCAACAGCAGAGATCATCCGTATGTGATCAAAGGGTTAATTCTGTTTGTCAACTAGCGAGAGGGGGAGTGGATGGAGGTGTTGCTTAGCAACCAGGTGGAGTGGCATGATGTTTGCTGACATAGCATATGCTCCCATTTTCTGTGTAGTTATAAGGAAATTTTCCTCTGGACATTTGGTTGAAAGTTCCCCTGCTGTAAACAAGATCTGAAGTAAGGAAGACAAAACCTCTTTCTTTGTTTCGCCTCATATTATATACTGTTTTGTATTATCAGGATTTCTTTCTGGCCTCCACCTGGGTTATCTCATTGACTTTCCTCCAGATGTTTTGGACTACATCTCCCACCAGCCCTAGTCAGCACACCTGATGTGGCTGGGACACATCTGTAGGGAAGGTTGCTTTGCAATGATGTGTTCTTCTGTCAAGGAAGCGTATGCGTTGCAAGCTGCAGCAGTCGCTGCCACTGTAAATACACCAGATTTCACAGCAAACTCGCTCTCTTCCCATCACACAATGTGACAGAGAAGCTGATTAGAGTCCCTATTCTGTGGGAGAATGCAGTCAACAGATATTGCATGCTCAGGGTTAATTTTCTCTTCAAATTACAGATGCAGCTAAACTGCCATCCACCTCCTCATGATAACTCGTCACACTGTCAGAACTGAAGAACCTGAACGATCAACTGGGACTAAATGTCCTTATGTAAAATTCCTAAAAGATGGCTACTGTGGTGTTTCTATCAAGCCTACATGATCATATATTGATGCTGGGCTTATTCCTTCCAGTGCTTCTGAAGTATTGTTAATCATTTCGCTATCATGCCCTGGGTGGTACATGATTTTCTTTTCTTTTTTTAAGAGGCATTGGCTTCAGAAGATAACTTAGCAGAGGGACTTGGCTTACCTAAGGAAAATACTGTACTCTTCCTACTATTTTGTTCTTGGTTTTAATGTTTTTGTTATTGTTTTTATTCTGTGTTTTGTGTTTTCATCTTGTATTTTTATGCTGTGAACTGCCTTGAGATCTACAGATGAAGAGCAGTATACAAATTTAATTAATGGGTTGATTAATCAATTAATAATATATGCAACAGAGCTACGCTAACAAAGATCCTCTGTTTGTTTAATTTGTTTAGTGCAGGGTTGTGAATCTTATGCAAAAGCTAAAAATCAAAACTTTGTTGTTTAGTCATTTAGTTGTGTCCGACTCTTTGTGACCCCATGGACCAGAGCACGCCAGGCACTCCTGTCTTCCACTGCCTCCCACAGTTTGGTCAAACTCATGCTGGTAGCTTTGAGAACACTGTCCAACCATCTCGTCCTCTGTCGTCCCCTTCTCCTTGTGCCCTCAATCTTTCCCAACATCAGGGTCTTTCCCAGGGAGTCTTCTCTTTTCATGAGGAGACCAAAGTATTGGAGCCTCAGCTTCAGGATCTGTCCTTCCAGTGAGCACTCAAAACTACCTTGATTTGATCCAGAGCTTTTAGGAACATACATAAAAACATAACAAGCTGCCTTATTCTGGCTCAGGTTGTTGGTCCGTCTGGCTCATTATTTTCTATAATGTCTGGTAGCAAGTTTCCAGAATCAGAATATTCCCAGCTCTACCTGGAAGTGTCAGGGACTGAACCTAGGACCTTCTGTCTGCAAAGCAGATACTGTACCACTGAGCTATGGCCTTTTCCTGTTGTTCTGCAAACAGAAGAGCTCTTTCCACTGGTGGAAGTCTTCCATGAATAGGGAAGCTGGGGAACTGAGATCCAGCTGAAACTCCCACTGGCAGAAGTGAGGGTTGCAATTTTTGCTATTTCTCCATTCCTCCTAAAGATCCAAGTGCTCCCTTCCATATTGCCTTGGATGCTTCCTCAACCCTGGACCAGGGGACAAAGGTGGGAGGAACTTACAAAAAATACGTATTCCTCTTCTTCCAGCAGATGCATCCCATGAGCAGGCTTCCATTCATGAGAACTCTAGATCCGACAATTTGTTGGGCTGTCAAATGTTCCTCGCCTCTTTTGCAGGTGCTGCAGCCAAGCACACACCATTGAAGTTGTGTAAGTTAAACATGCATATTATGTGACTGCATTGTATGTATTCAGTACTTCCTCTGCTTCACCAGGCATATACTTTCAAGGGTATCTTTGCACTCTAAGGGCTAGAAACTTGATGTGCTTAAAAATCCAAACCAGAGATTCTTACAGTGTTTTGCCCAATACTATGTTTGCACATTTTCTGCAGTTCTGCAGAACTGTGACATTCACATACCCCTGGGTGTTCCTCTCCATTCCTCTATTGCTCCCCAGTTGTGCTGGGTGCAAATGCTGGACAACTGCAAAATTTTGCCCAGTATGAGAGGGTGAAGTGAGTAAAATCATTAATTCATTTTCTCACTGTTTTGCCTCCGGTGATTACTGTCACTTTGTGTAATAGGTTGTCTGTGGTTCTGACCCAATTCCAAAGCCTGTCTCACTGTACTCAACCAATTAATCTAATGCTTCATTAATTGCAAGCATCCGAAATCATTAGAACCTGATTGAGCACAAAAAGCATCAAAGCTGGAGAAGCTGTGACTGCTTAGCCAGCAAATGGTCTCAGTGCAAAGGAATGTCAATGTTTATAGTAAATGTAACGTAAACTGGGGTGTTCATTGACATCTCCCTCCATTTGTATACAGCAGTTCTGACATCTATCAGTTCAAGAGTGCGTGATTTATCCACTTCTATATCCTGGAACTGACAAGCCAAAGATTACAGCTTAACCTTCATGAAAGCAAAGGCTGCATGTATCCCTAAAATAAATATTTAGCAACTGACAAGCTCTGGTTAATATTAATTTGTGATCGAGAGCAGTCAATTTAAGTTGGTGTCTGCCAAAACCTATTTGTATTTTGTAAATCATCTCAAACACAAATCAGTTCTGGAAAGGCTTTTAAAAATAAAATGTGAGGATTTTGCTATTAGCTCTTTCTGTGAATATGGGCCTGCTCTTGTGCATGTCCACAGATCTGCATTTAAAGAGCCTTTCACAAATGCAACATGACTTGTAGATCTTTGTAAGGAGAACGGTAACAGTAACCAGAGGAGCAGGATTTGCTTTGTGTTGTCTTTCCTTTTCTTCCTTTAATCAAATTAATTTGCGGCACGTAAAAGATGCCAAGAGTTCATTCCTAGAAAATGACATGTTCTGTTTTCCCACCAACTTCAAAGAGTGGATGGATGTGATATTGGCCACAGCACTATCATGGGCACCAGACATGGAAGCTGATGGGAAACCAACCCTGGTGGGCTTTCTGGCATGGAACAGATTGTGACATTCTATGCAGTCAACTCTTCTGGGATAACAAACCCTCAGATCACTTCAATCTCTAATTTGCTTAGATATTAAAGAGCTGAATCAGAAGTTGACATGAACCGGAAAAAAAGAGAATGAAAGCTCCCTGGCAAGATCATGGGTTCCTGACACTTCTCAGTACACACATTATGACAACATGCCTCTATAAAATAAAATAAAAAATGGCCGGTAACATTCAAAGCTATTGCTGTGTTGAAAAATTATTCCACATTTCCCCCTTGATCATCAATGAAAAAGAAACTGCATTCAAAACTTATCAAAGAAGATAGTGCTCATGAGTGAGGCGTCCTACTTTTGCTGGGAGTGCAAAAGCAGAGATCATTCAGTGTGTGACTTGAGGGTTAATTCTATGCTTGGTGTTAGTCAACTACCCAAGAGGGAGGATGAAGGTGTAGCTTGGCAACCAGGCAAAGTGGCATGAGGTTTACTGATCTGACATATACTTGGGTTGGCTGTAAGGTTCAGAGAGAACTTTGCTCTGTATGTTTAGTTACTTGAATGGTTCCCTGCTATGTACAAGGCCTGAACCGAGAAGGACAAAACCTCTCTGTTCTTTTCTCCTCAGATTACACACTCTTGTGTCAGTTTCCTCTTAGTAAAATGTTATCAGGGCTGTGCTAATAACATCAAGGTGGTTGAGGAGGTTTGTGGCTGTCCTTTCATATTTCAGATCATTTCTCTGGTGATCTGCATCCTGCAGCCTTCCTGGGTGCTCAGTCTTCCAGGAAATGATATTCCATTATATTTCAGCTGGGATTTACCATAAGTGCAGGAAGCTAGGGGAAGCTGCCTACCATATGCCTGATAGCACTTCATTGTTAAAGGGCTTTTTAATTACAATCTCTCCACCTCCCTCCCTGAGGTTTCATAGCCAGCCTTCCTGGCTTCTCATGCTTCTATTAAAGCTCAGGTAACTCCTCCCATGAGCTTTTTATAGGTCAGAAGGTGCTGGGAACTGGGAAGGCTGCAGCATTTTAGAGGAATGTTTCATGGAAAGAAACACACACAGGTGGCTGGTGCTGATGGGCGTTGTAGTCCTAAACACCTAGAAGGTACCAGGTTGCAGAAAGCTGATTAGCATCACAGGACATTGCCTCATACTGCGTCAAAATATTGGTCCATGTGGCTCTATCATTTCTATACAATTGGCAGCAGTTCTCTGGGGTCTCAGGCAGGGCTCTGTCCCAGCGCTACCTGGAAATGTCAGAGATTGAATCTGGGACTTTTGGGATGCAAAGCAGATGCTCTACCACTGAGCCGCAGCCTGTTCCCAAATTCTCAACTAAAAGAGGGTAAAACAGTACTATACTTTTACCATATCATCTGCTGTTTGTATAGACTTGGCCTAAGAACCCGTGATTCAATCGGTGTCTTTTTTTTAATAGCAACTTTTAAAAAAGACTTTTTTGTGAAAGATCATCATTCCTCCTATCACTTCAAAAGTCTTCTCTGCTTGAGACTAAACATACACAGTTCATTCAACACTTTCTTATATGTTATTCTTCCTAAACCATTTATCATATCTGCTAGTCTCCCCTGAACCATTTTCAAATATATAAACCTTTTTCTTATTATGAGTCAAAAACTGAACAATGCCGAGCACAGGAGCTATCATGTTCCATTTCTTGTATATGCTGTTTCTGCAAATGGATCCCAAAATAGCATTCCCCCCCCCTTTTTTTTTAACATTTCCCATTGTTGACTCAGTTGGCAAGTTACTGTAACACCTCTATCTGCCTAGCCAGTTAACCATAGTTTTGTATCTGCACATATGGTTTTCCTTTCCTAAGTATAATATATCATACTGGTCATCCTTAATTTTTATTCTGTTGGCTGTAGCCCAGTGCTACAATTTAGCCAGGACTTTTAAAATTCCAATTTACTCTTTTAACATTTTGCATTCCACCCCAGTTTTGTGTCATCTGAAGATCTGATGAATACACTTCCTGCTCGTTCACACAAGTGGCTTTTAATATTGTTTAGTAGCAATGGATCAAACGTTAACATAATAGAAGTAATAGTACCGCTGTATTCTGGCTCGGTTAAACCCCACCTGGAGTACTGTGTCCAGTTCTGGGTGCCACAATTTAAGAAGGATATTGAGAAGCTGGAAAGTATGCAGAGGAGAAGGACCAAGACAATAGAGGGTGCAGAGACCTAGCCTTATGAGAAATGATTGAGGGACTTTGGTATGTTTAGCCTAGAGAAGAGGAGACCAAGATAGCCATCTTCAGATATCTGAAGGGCTGTCACATGGAAGATGAAGAAAGGTTGTTTTCTCCTGCTCTGGAAGGTACAGCCCAAACCAATGGATTCAAATTACAAGATTCCGACTAAACATCAGGAAGAACTTTCTGATGGAAAGAGCTGTTTGACAGTGGAATGGACTCCTTTGGGAGGATGTGGGCTCTTCTTCTTTGGAGGTTTTTAAGCAGAGGTTGGATGGCCATCTGTCATGGACGGTTGAGATTCTAGCATTGCAGGAGGTTGGACTTGATGACCCTTGGGGTCCCTTCCAAATTCTATGATTCTGTGAATCACTTTTAAATGACTGGAATAAAGAAATGCAAAATGACCCCTGCAATCACAAGTTAAAGAAACTTAAGACAGACTGGAACAAAAATATGAATGTTATTGCTTTAACATCCTGCTAAGATACACAATACAATTCACCATAACTGATGCTCAGGTTGCTCTATGAATATCTTCAGGCAACAAATGGAATTTTATGTTTCTCCCCATCTCCTGATAATTATTTCCACAAGATGGAAATGCTTTTTTCAATAAGGATTGGAGATCAAAATAAAGGAAGAAGTCATAATGAAGCCAAGCATCATTTGAGGGCATTTCACTGCTGAGTATGACAAAAAAAGAAGAAGACAGAAGCTACCTATAATGAGGATGTGTGGAACAGGACAATGCGACAGAAACGATAAATGTTCTGAAAGCAGAGAGATGGACACAGCATATTCTTCTAACAAGAAGTGACCACCAGTGTGTTCTAATGGCTCCATGAAGAATGAAATAGACACAAATAGACAAGAGGAGACAGCTCAGTGGGATGGATACGCCAAAGCTAAGCACATCCAGTTAAGGATCAGAGTATGGAATGATTAGGTTGGTATATTTCAAAGGCAGGCTCTGGGGCTGCACACCTGATATGTCAAGCAAGAAGACATCACATGCTAAAATTGCTTTACAAAGATCGTTCTGTCACAAACCATGACACAGGAGAAGTTAGGCGCAAGCAGCTCTGAAAAACTGGAGTGGCACAGTGGCTAGGGGGCCTGCATTTGGATGTAGTGAGACCAGGGACAAATACCGCTATGAAGCTCACAGTTCTCCTTGGGCAGGTCAGTGAACTGATTCACCTGTAGCACTAAGTCAAACCATGGCTACGTGTCAATCTGTAAGCCTTAAGGATCTTGGAGAGACCAGCTGCTGTGAGCTAAGCCACGGTTCGTCATCTGAACCCAGGCTCGTGGTTTGAGTCGCTCTGGACAAACCACAAGCTGTAACCAAGGTTTGTTCTTGGGTTTACACATCCCCTGTCTGCTCTCAGTACTGGATCTTCTTCCCCAGAATATTTGCAGTCGAAATGGGAGATCCTAAGCATTCTATCTACTCCTTTAGGGAACGGTGTTTTTGTGTATAGCTCAGTTGAGAGAGCCCGAGACTCTTAATCTCAGAGTTGTGGGTTCGAGCCCCACATTGGGCCAAAAGATTCCTGCATTGCAAGGGGTTGGACTAGATGGGGTCACTTCCAGCTCTAGAACTCTGTGATTCTGTGCTGAACAAAACAAAATAAAAAAGCATTGTCTGCAAAATGACTGATTTGGCACAGCATGACGTTTATGGGATGGCTAAATCGCTGGTAAGTAGTTCCAAGCAGTCAGAGGCATGAAGAAGAAGAAGAGTTTGGATTTTATATTCCGCTTTATCACTACCCGAAGGAGTCTCAAAGCGGCTAACATTCTCCTTTCCCTTCCTCCCCCACAACAAACACTCTGTGAGGTGAGTGGGGCTGAGAGACTTCAAAGAAGTGTGACTGGCCCAAGGTCACCCAGCAGCTGCATGTGGAGGAGCAGGGAATCGAACCCGGTTCACCAGATTACGAGTCCACCACTCTTAACCACTACGCCACACTGGCTCTTAGAAAAAGAATCAACTCAGAACCATGAAGGCACCACTGGGATTTGAACCCAGGATCTCCTGTTTACTAGACAGGTGCTTTTACCAACTAAGCCATGGCGCCCCACAAATGCTTCTGAATACCAGTTGCTGAAAACCATTGAGTGGAAGGGTGCTCTTGTGCTTGGGTCCTGCTCACAGGTTCCCCACAGGCACCTGAAGAACAGGGTGCTGGACTATTGGCCTGATCCAGCAGGCTCTTCTTATGTTCTTAAGTGGCTAGATCAAAGTTGCTCTTCAATGAGAATAACATATTTCCTGTTTTGTAACACCAAACAACACATGGGCACACATTCTTTTTGTTTCAAACTTGCTTCAAAAACGTAATGTCTGTGCCTTTTCTGAGGACTCACTCACTAATTATCTTTGAGGACTTCTGTTTGGGTGACTCTAAAAGCATCAGGGGCATTTCCTTGACTATACAAAATTTCCTGTGTATTTTATAGTTATGTGGAGTAAGGATGGGGGATGAATTGGGTTTTGTTTGTATTTTAATGAGAAATGGCCTTCATTTCCACTTTTTGAACTCATGCATAAACCAAAACATGTTTATCCTTTAAAAGCTACACGTCTCGGAATTTTGTGGTGCAGTTCTTTGGCCAATTAATGTGTACAGAGATGCATATATTAGGGATAAGTATTCATCAAAATGCAACATCTGGAGAGCCACATGTTCCCCACCCTGATTTTGAAAGAAAACCCCAAATTATTTCCCCCTTTGTTCCCCATACCCTGCTCCAAAGCCACAGATGGGCAACCTCTGGCCCCCAACCTCATTTCATGTGGCCTCTGATGTCTCCTGGAGTTGTCCTCTTCTTCCATTCTTCTGCAAGTGTACAAGACAGTTGAAGGTGGGTGAGTCTTCTCACAACCCAGGGATAAAGTTCCGTGCCTTGGGTCCTCTGTGCAATTGCAACACCGTCTCCCAGTGAGGTATTCTAACCCTTGCCCCCCTGAACACACAGTGTCGAGAACCTGTCATAAAACTTCAGCATCCATTTCCAGAAGGTCCACACCAGTAATGGATTCGGGAGGTATATTGTATTACAAGCACTTGACATTATAAATGGGTGTAAAGGCTCACAAATCAGAATCAAATTGTTAAGTGGATGGTACAGGGGAGGCGGGCTGTGGGGACTGCCAGAAACACAGCCTGTTATTTTCATATTAAAATGTAATGGCGCCATTAAAGTTAAAACCACTGTTAAACTTGATTGAGTAAATTAGTTAATTAACCATAGCATCTAATGCATTCCTCCAAGGCATACCTCGAAATCCTCAAGATGCAGAGAAGTGATAGAGCCCAAGCCGTCCATTATCCTAACTGCACATTGTAGTATGATTACACTCATCTCGGAGTGACTTATTACGAGATCAGTTATAAAAGAGGAGATGGCAAGTTGAAGCACTGCTGTGACTTTGAGACAGATAAGGGGGAAGAAAAAACAGGGAGAGATTAAGATGCTTGTCTCCCAGTTCTTGTGGCGAAGCCTTAAAGAAAACCTTTTAAAACGTGCAGTATAATGCACTTGCAAAGCATTTTATTTATGCCGTATTCATTTGATTCCTGTGTCTGTTGTGCCAAAATGGCTTGCTTCTCTGATACTATTTTGAGACAGTAATATTCCTGGCCACGATCCAAAGCTTTAAAACCATTGCTTCCCTGCACCCACCCCCAATTTTGCATTCTTAAATTGGTGTTAGAATATGCCTACTGACTTCAACTAGCAACAGAGACAACTGTGGTCTCAAAAATCCAGGGTTCCACATTTTTAAGGTAGTGTGGTGTAATGGTTAGAGTGCTGGACTGGGGAGACCCAGGTTCAGATTCCCAACCTGCCAAGAAGCTTATCACTGGCTCCCTCCCTATCCTATTTCTGAGGGTTACTGGGAGGATAAAAGAACAGAGGATTTTGTATGCCAACTTGAGGTCCTTGGAAGAAAGGAAGGGAAAGCTGGAATGGATGGAAGGAGAGATAGATGACGCATGTGCATATATGTACATATATGTATTATGTTCACAATCTTCTGTGACTAGCACAGGAAACAGGATTACTGTAAAGAAAACATGAGGGGGTATGTACACTGCCTTGAGCATTGTATCCAACCAGGATCTTCTCACGAGTAGACCCATGGAAATTAATGGCCATGAGAAACTTGGGGGGGGCAGGCACTAAATAATGAATGGAACTGCTGCTTTAGTTCAGTTTTGTTATTGTTGAGCTTCAACTGATTCACAAGCACCCATATGGAATGCCTATGCAATAAATGGAGATATATGGTATATCAGCCTGAATTTTCCTTTATATTAACTGTGGTTGCCGATTTGGGGATTTCTGAAAGCAGTTCGCACATTGTTAATATAGCATGATTTAGTTACTTGCTGCACCTCGAACACTGTGACAGTGTGCACAAATTATATGCAATACTTAGCAGTGAGAGGGTTCTGATTTATACCTGCAGTGCATTTTGCCAATTCAAAATTTGCAGCAACATTTTTGCAGCCGTAAATTGCTACTTGAAAAAAAGAGAGAGGCAGGCTTGGTTCCTCTGAATACTTAATCAAAGAGGTTTTTCGGGCATCTGATGTCCTCTAGTTCTCATGTTACATGAAAAAACGGGGAAATCACCTAAACTTATAAACTGCATATAATAATTGTTTCTATCTTACATTGGTTACTAATATACTAATAGGCAAAAGTTGGCATAAGGACAACACATCTATGTGTAGTTATTGTGCGGGGGAGGAATATGAGACTTACGCATTTTTTTGTTTTCAGTTTGAACTTCCAAATTTCATGTTGTTCTTAAATGTTTTATCTCCAGATGGGCTGGAATATCTCTGTTCAAAGTAAAGAAGGGCAACTCTTGCAGCAGAACGAATCAGGGCTGCATGTCTCACATGCTGTCTCTTAGAAGACAGAAATGTTTTGATCCTGTAGTGTTGCAACTGAGCACATGTCTACACATAACTAAGCCCTACTGAGGTCAACGGGGCTTATTCCCAAGCAAGTCTGGATGGTTAGGATTGCAGCCTAAACTCTACTGAAGTGAGATTTAAGCAGCCTAGTTGTGTGCACAATTAGAGTCAAAGTAAAAGGAGCCAGAAAAAAATTAAACCCTAGAATAAAACTCCACTGAAGTGAGATTTAAGCAGCCTAGTTGTGTGCACAATTAGAGTCAAAGTAAAAGGAGCCAGAAAAAAATGAAACCCTAGAATAGCTTTATGCAACCTTGGATCTTCAGGACAAGGGCCAGAGACTGGGGAAGACGGGAGTTGTAGTTCAGCAGCATCTATGTGTGTTTTTTAAATATATATTTTTATTAAAGATTTCTTCATTTACAAAAATACGTGCATTGTCTCTTTTTTCAAGTTGCATTTTCTACAGATCAGTTACATTTGCATGACCAGGTGGTGACAGCCCCAGCCTCCAGGGATCATAAGGAAGGAATAAAGACTCTGAATTTATATGGAACTAAAATGAGGCCACAACTTCTGAATGTAGGAAGACCTTGGCTTAGGCCTTGGGGGTGTATCCCTCCCAGCCCCGCAGCCGGGGGGCGGGACTGGGGCTCATCAGGGTAAATGGGATACGGGGGTGCTCTGCGAGACATTAAGTGTAGCAGGCAGCTCAGCCCATCTCCCCTCACACAGAGTAGTTCACTGACGACCTTTCAAAGCCTCCCAAAATGAGAAGGGAAAAAATGCCCAAGCAGGTGAACGGCACCAAGAGTCATCCGGCCACCAGTTGTGATGAAGAGAATGGTCTCAGGGAAGATGTGAGTGCCTGAGGGCCCTGCTCCTTCCTGCCACTTACCACCTGGCCCAGGGCAGGGCCTGACAGGCCTCACAAGGACTGCTCCTGCCACTTACTATCTGGCCCAGGGTGGGGCCTCACAAGGACGGTTGTTGCCACTGATGCTGCTACTGCCCAGGAGGACCCGGAGGGGTGCAGAGTTCTTTTTAACATGTTTTAAAATTTTCCTTTCCCTTTAGATTTTTTATATATGGGGGTGGGATGGATGTTTGGGTGGGCTTGGGAATTTGTTAGATTTTGATGAATTTGTAATTTTTGCAGTTTTTATTTGTATTGTTTTATTGTTTTCTGGGTTGTTTTTGTTTTTTGTTTTTATTGTTTTAAGGTTTTATTGTTTTAGGCTGCGAAAGAATAACATTAATTGCCATCAATGGAGGCTACTATGAGGCTTGGGATTGCTACCGTGGAGGGCGAGGAGGTATGGCGGTGGGGGCAGATGTTATAGGCGAAGGGGATCGAGATATGGATATGCTCGTACCCCTTCCAATCTGCGCCCATCCCGAGGGACGAGGGTAGGGTGAGCAAGGATTACTCACCTCCGTCACTGGTGCTGTGCAATGCCAGGTCTATAGGCAACAAAACCGCCACCCTGTGAGATTTCTTTACCTCGCAGGGGGTCAACCTGGCTTGTGTGACAGAGACCTGGGTGCGCGAAGGGGAAACAGTTACCTTACGAGAGATGGGGCCTCCGGGTTTCTCCATCCTCCACC